TATAAACACTCAAGTGTGGAGGGTTTATAACTCAGCTATAAAAATTCCCTCTAGGATGAAACTTGATAAGTGAAGTCTTAGTCCAACAACACTTTTTTTTTTTTCTTTTACAAACTTTAAAATAAATTAGTTTTTGTAGTCATGGAGGTACTAAGCAAAAGTAATGAAAAAGTGGCTTTGATTTCTTTTTCAGATCGGTGATTCTTCTCAAAAGAATTTCTATATGACCCTCCTKCTCCTTTCAATTAACTTAGATTTCTGGTTTTTTTGGTAGGTTTTGTTTTGTTGGTTTTTTTTTTTTTAAATTAAAAATAGCTAAAATAATGAAGCTTMAAATGTGACTGCTGTGCATGCTGAGTCCCTATTTTCATAGGAATTTGTTGTTTTACTAGGCTTGAATGCTACTAATCTGCAACAGTAACAGCCAAGCTTTTCTTAGTGATACAACAGAATGGTTAAAAACATGGATAGGTGTGCTGGTTATGCTGTTTTTGTAGTACAGAAAATTGTAGCTTTTTCTATTATTTTTTTAATATAATCAGTTCAGATTATTTGCTCTTAAACCTTGCTCAGAAAAAAAAAAAAAAAAGCTTGTTTTGGATACTGAGATGAACATTTGTCACAGTTGYATATCCAGAATTAAAGAATTGACAGAATAAAAATATTCAATTGTAATTGCCTAGAATTTTAGCTTTTTAAGAAGTGCAGCTTAGATATTATTTTTTTTTTTTTCATCCAAATTTCACTTTTCCCCTTCTCTATCCTAGTTTCTGTGTTACCTTTTGTCTGGCTGGCACTAAAGTTTAAGCCCTTGAATTTTCAGGGATACTACCCACTCTGCTGATCACCAGCTACAGTCCAGTTCAGTGGTTCTTACAAAGCCAACATTTCTATTTCTTCAAAGAAGTCAAAATAGGGGAGTAATTCTGTAATCCTTACTTTTGAAGTATAACTTTCCACATTTATATGTACTTACAAGAACTGTAACATATCCAAATTGTTGTGTGCATTATATTAATGTGGTGTGGCTTTCACTGTTCTCAAAAGCTTCAGGGCCTTCAGAGCAGCTCCTCCTGTGCTGAGGGATTTTGAATGGTTCCCACACAGAGCTGTTGCACTGCAGGAGRAAAGGTTTCCTTATTGTCACACATGGCTTTATCTCAAACAAGTAATCACAGAGATTCTAGGTCTGTCTATGCTTCTGTCATACCTCTGACATAATTTCAAAAATAGAGATAAAGAATATCCTGTTGGTTTACTGCCTCTCCTTAGCTCAGAAAGCAGAAGAAAAATAATAATTGGCCCTGCGAGTTCCAGTTGTCTTCTTTTGCTCTAAGGCTTACAGATCAAGGGAAAGTAGTGCATTTTATGATTTTGTACACAGCAAAGAGAAATCTGTGAGTGGAGAGTCTTCAACATGAACACATGCACTGAGAGAAGTTAATTCAAATGTTAATACTTCTCTTTATTTCTAGCATTGTTCACTTACTATTCAGTCTTTAACCTTGTTAATGATTCTAACTTTTGAGATTTATATTTATCAGAGGGAAGTGTGGTGGCTATAGAACAAAGGATACAGGAATAAATGTACCACAGCAACCACTGTTACTGCTTGAACATTTCAATGTCTCAAATCCAGCTAAAAGATAGTTTAGCACGGATTTTCAAAACAACCAATGATTTATGATTATTCATTATTTTGTGTGGCCTAGATGGGATATGGTATGGAGATCCTGATATCACTGCTGAAGCAAAGTTTGTGACCTGGAGCCATAGCCATTATTTTTGTGTTTGATGGAGAATGGAGGTGTGCAGCTCCACTAACTCTTTTCTCTTCAGCACTGCATAGTGATTACAGTGAAATTACTGCTCATATCCAGTRTTGCTGGGAAACTATATTATCTTTTACAGTGCCCTGGGTTTCCTACTCAAGCTCTTAGGGGCTTGGCAGGGCTGCTTCCATGTGGAAATGTGCATAAGGAAGGCACTGGTCCTTGTTCCAGAGCCCTGCAATGGGAAGGTGCCATGCTCTCTCCAAAGGGTGTTTCTGTGTAAAGTTCCATCTGCATCCTAATAAATATATCAAGAGACTAGAAATATAAAGAAAAGTTTTAACAAACTTYTGCAAGTGTAAGGGAAAACTCAACAGAGCCTCGGCACCCTGCTCCAACCCTAGACCTGGTGGTTCTTTGACTTTTCCTTTTAACCCTCCACTGCTCTGCTCCCCCCATCCTGGCAAAGAGAAGGYCCTTGCACTACAAAGAACGTCTCTTTAGAACACATTTATTTGGGAAAAGAATGTAAAACCTGATAGAGCTAGATCCAGCCACAGCTCAGCAGATTTCATGTTGCAAGTGTGCTATATTTTCTATTAAAGCTGGCGCCAGCSATCGCTTTCTGCCATTCAGTCCACTCCATGTGGTTGTATATTTTCTTAATGAGGATCTGAAATCAGCCTCTCTCAYTTAACTGACAGCCTGCCAGAATTATGCCATCTTTCCAAACGCAGAGATCATATGATCCATCTGTTGTCTGCAGCCATGCAGGGGAAATGTTTTCCAAAGAGAAATGTGGGTTGGCCCCAAAAGTATGTAATTATCCAAATGTTGAAGTGTTTCAGATGTTTCAAGGTGCTCCTGGACCTGATCTTGGCCATTGAAGCTCCTATGAAGTCTTTTAAAATAATGTACATAACTAAGTCATTGAGTCGCCAGGAAATTTTCRGAGTACAGGAGTAATTTTAAAATTATTTTTAAATAACTTCGAGCTGAATCAGATATGTGGGACTCAACATTATCTGGAGATATTTGTGAGTCCTTGCAATCTTAGTAGTTCACATTTTTGTTGTCAGTATTATCATATATGATACAAAATATAAAGAGCATTAAGTGAATATGCAGAAAGATGTTTTAATCTATTTTATTAATATTTTAATTATATGCTAGAACACTGCAGTAATTCTGTAATATCATTGGATTTCTGCAAACTACCAGATGCAAAAGAAGTTGTAGGATGATGAATAAGAGTAATGGAGAAAAATAAAAGGGGAAAGATGATTGAGAGACTGTAAAATGAAGGGCTATCTCAGATCTTTCTGTGCCTTACATAAAGGCGCGTGGAATTCATTTCATATTACATCTGACTCAGTTTAAATTCTCTTTTCAGATATCTTGAATGTTGCCAAATGCAATTAAACTGACAGTTTAGGTCCCCATCAGGTGCCACCTCCTTGAAGTACAGAATCCCAATTTTAATCATGAGCGAATGGAACTTTCTCTGAAGTACTGATAACTGTGCTCAACTACTAAACCAGTCCTTGGTAAGATGGRCTTTTAAATCCTTTTGCTGCAAACACCTTTGCCAGCCCCAAGGTATTAAATTTGGAGACATGCACCGACTCATTGCTTTATTCTGTCATCCCTACTTGGGTTGACAGCAGCATAAGTCAGTTCTCACTGCTGCGTGTTTCAAATATCCAGGAACGGAATGATTACAGCATCCCCTCTCAGAACAAAACTGCCATACCTTTGGGCTGAGCCACATTGTRCTGAGGAAGTTCTGTGATCTTAACAGCACAGGGGTTGCCCTAGGAGAGAAATAAATTCTACCAAAGCCATGATGAGAACACACAACATTTGTCATATTTAAAAYATGCAGGCACATCTCCTGAAATACATAAACCAAACCCAACCAAACCCCWCAAAACCCCCAAACAAACAGAACAAAACAAAACCATATAAATTTCTCATTTTTGACAGTAGTAGAAACCTGAATCTTTAGCACCCCATTGGTCAAATTATTTGAAGGATCCAGTGCATAAGCCAAATATTTGACTGGAGAGCATTTTAGTGTACAAGATCAGTGGTTTTTGCCTTCATGCTGCAAAGGCATGCTGAGAATGATGGCAAAAGAAAAGTTCTAATGACACCCACTTCAACCCTGCTTCTCCTTACAAAACATAAGTTCTTGTGAAGTTATGGGTCATAAGAAATATTTATTGTGAGGCTTTCTGAATCACTTCCATAGCACATAAACACCAAATATCAACCCAAAGGTGCAGTGTTACCTCAGAGATGAAAAGAGAAATCTTTATTTCCAAAGTATTTTCTTCCACTGAAAATATCCAGAGACACATTTTCAAAGGACAGAAAGTCTACACAGAGTTTGGTAATGATCACCTTGCAGTGGCACAGTGGAAACACAGGTAACACCGTGGAGGTTTCTTAGTGCAAACTTTGGGAAAACACAAACCTATATTTGCTGTGGTTTCTTTCCAYGTTGTATAACGCTCCTACTGCCTGCATGGCACTGCTCTCCTTGGTATTGCAAATGAGGTGATGCCTCTGCATCATTTGTGGTGCCACAGCTGCTACTGAGGAGCTGCTAATCCATTCCCTTCCATTTTGATGCCCTTACAGTAGCACCTATTCCAGCGTGGATTTCACAYGACATTTCCAAATGCTCTTGAGCAGAGTTTAATGGCAACTTTYTTTCATATAATATTTTGCTAACCTCCATGACTTAAGGAGCAGCAGAAATCATTTTTTTCCTCAATGAAYAGTTTGGGAGGGATATGCACGGAGAGAAATACAACACCTCCTGTTCCCATAACCACAAGGAATGAAAAAGCATCTTCTACCTCTATATAGCAGTATAACTTGTTTCTGATATACATTCGGTCTGTGGGAATATGAAGGGCTGTTTCTTGCAGTAATAGCTGAGTGGCTGTATTGCCTTTTTTTCCTCCATCTATATGCCTTTGGGGTGGCCCCTTACCCTTAATGTGAGCAATTATGAAGTGCTTCCTATGATACATCTGATTTAGCATTAAGAACTTAATTTCCCAATAGTGTATATAATCTTTAAAGATGGTCATTTTTCTTCTTTTTTTTTTGGATGAAATTTCCTACCCGCAGTGAATTCTGTGAGGAAATGGTAAGRCTTAGACAGTTAACCTGCCAGCTACACTAACAAATCAGAAAGTTTGACATCTAGACCAGACTATTAGTTCCTGCAATGAACTGACAACATGAAACCACAGATGGAAGGATTTGGTGTTGCAAAATTTTACCTGCCAAATTGGAGGCTGTGGTGTCCTCTCAGAAGAAGCAGCCCATTCTGGGAGGCATCCTCRAGAAGGAGAATGTGGCAGCTGTTTCACTTTTCACAGCAACATGACACAGTGTTATAGGAAAGAAAACACAGAGAGTTATCTCAGTTGATTGAAATGAAGCCAAATGACAGYGTGCCATACCACAGCCACTCAATTACATATGTTGAATGCAGATAAAGCTGTAGTTACCCATAATGGACTTTGGCCAAAAGACAACATCATGAATCTTTCCAAGACACTAAAGGATTTTCACTGACCAAAACTTGAACATGTTGGCGGATAACAGCTAGGTTGAAGGCCATTTGGGGATAACAAAAATAGATCATAAATGTCACTGTAGATAGCACATGGCTGTAAGCCACTGAAATATAATTGATCAAACTTCTATCTCTTTGGGAAGAATRATGACCATTTTACTGTCAACCCAGATTCAGCAAAAAATCCTCCAGACATATGTCATTCAAACTACTCAAACWTCTAATACAGTAATTACAAGGAAGYAGTGCAGTAAGCTCTGTGAGGCTGTAGCTWGTTTTAATACTGGTTTCTTTTTTATAAAAGTGGATGCTTTAAACACTATGCATTGTCAGAGAGAAAAGGATTACTAATTGAAGGTGCAAATTTCTTTTTTTTTTATTTAAGCCCTTGTTATATTCCATTGCACATCCTCTACCTTTAAATTAATTACAGTATCTGCTGTTGCYATCTGTATCAAGAGTTGCATTAGTCTTTTTGCAAAGTGTGAAAAACAAAGWCTAACATTAGTCTAACATTAGACATTAGAAAATGTCCTAAATTGCTCAAATATGAAGTGAGACATAAACCTGAACATATTCTAGAGTCAGATAWGTATTTTGGAATTAGGTCTCTGCTCTGACTTTGAAAATCTGGGCCATATCTTACTGTTTAGGGTCTAGCCCATAGATGTCCTACTGAGCTCAGAGCATCCTTGCATTTACTAGGTAAGCAACAACATTTCTYCCATGCAGCAAAATGTGGATGTTTKGAAGACTAAAAATTATTTATAACCTTYTTGAAAAGGATTATTTTTTAATAACAAAAAGTTCCACGAGTTCAGCTAAATATTAGAGAACAGTGACAGATTCTTTACTCCAAAGGCAGCCCTGCTTACATATTGCTTATACTCTTAGGCTGTACCCATTGTAATTTTTATTTAATTTAAAGTTTAATTCACCCTTTTTAAGACTTAATCCAAAGCCCACTGAAACACTCCCCTTGACATCAAAGGATTTTGGACCAAGTCCTTAATGAATGTAAGCACAAGTGTTCTAAAAGGAGAAACAAATATTTCTCTGTTTCTGACATGGACTATTTTTAGTGCTACAAGGTCAGATAGTAGATTTTGGCATGAGAATGTTTGATATAGATACTTTTCAAGGAAGAAGCAGCACAGTACTTCACATCAATACAAATACAGATGCTTGTTTGGAGGTCAGAGTTCATAAATAGTCAAATGCGAACACAGCTATGAACAGTGAATGTGTACTAATTTACTTTACCATATCAATAAACTACTGCCTCTCTGGAAAATTTATTTTGGAATTTGGTAACCAAGATTTGTGCTCTAGATCAGCTTCATTGTTGACCTACTGTGTGATCTTTGGACAGAAAAAAAAACCAAAAACAACAAACAGGATATGGACCTGTGGACATCCATCTCTTGTGAGCAAGGTAATCTAATCATYATCCTATATTCTGGAGGAAAGAAAATGAGGTTGGGACTGTAAAATGAGGGCTGATGGTTGATAGAAGATCTGTAGGCATCATAGCTGATAGCCCATAGCACAAAACAGTTATAACCTCCTCACTTAGAAAAGAATATGTCAACTTTTATCCACACTGTCTGCCTTTTCTGAAAGGAAATAAAACCTGGCAGAGATGGAAATAAACCCCTGCTCACTCAAAAGCTTTAGCTTTAGGTAGGTGTCCTTAGAAGTAAGGTAATTGTGGAAACAATGTGATGGGTGTTCTTTCCTGTGAACCTTTTCCCTCCAGGCTCTCCTCACCTGCATGGTGACAGTCAGCYCCTGTGTGATCTGGGGCTGGGAACGTGGATGGATTCCAAGTTGCAGATTTGGCATTCAATCAGCCTACTAATCAAAAAAAAAACCCCATATTTCCTTTCCCCAGGAAAGCAAACGTGTATGTTGGGATGACCCTTTCCCTCACACCAGACTATGCTGCCCACCTCAGAGGTAAAAGACAGCCTGTTATCCTGTCTATTGAACTTCTATGTTCATTGAGTTGTGGTTGCTTCTCACATGACCTTTTTTTCATCTTCATCTGAGAAAGAGAAGTGAGACTCCAAGAGCACCTGAAAGCCTAAAGGAGACCACATACASTAGGAAGCACAGGGTTGCAAACATGGCTCATAGGGTAAAAAGTCACTTTCATGCTGAAATTCTGGCTCTATGGCTTTGACTCAAATTGTTTGAGCTGCAGGCAGTTTGAGTCCACCTGTAAGAAGAAGGCTTTGTGGAATGCTTTATCCATCACCTGTGCTGGAGGTGCACCCTCCTCCATCTTGGAAGAAAAATGCAGAATTTGTGGCTAAAAGGTACTGAAGTTCCATGGATTTTCCATGGGCCAAGTGTATTGAAAGACTGAATATATAGATTTGAGTGATGTGTGGGAGTAAGAAGAATACAAAAAAAATAAATATATTTATGTAGTTCGGGAAAGATGGAAGAGATGGGAAAAAAAATCAAAGGACCTGAAACAGCAAATAAGCTCTATTATTAATAAAAATTAATTATTATCCCCTGGAGTGCAGATAAGCTTGTTTTACTAAGTGGTCTTTTCAGATTTAGATGTGAAACCACATAAGCGAGACCCAGAGCTGTAATTAGGGACAGAGCTCCACCACAGCTTAGATGTGTTGATCTCTTGTGATGGGAAGGACTGGTTTTGTCTAGGATACATGAGAGAGTACCACTCAGGCTTCCACCAAAGTAGAATCTGCCTAAACAGCCCCATTCACTGCCACAAATTATTTCTGGAGCTGAATTAAAGATTTCATACAAAAACACGCGTTGCAAATGATTTCAGATCTTAATTTATTGGGACACCTGTCTTCTATGTGGGATTGCTAGTTTGTTAATAGGATATAGGTATTTCTCGGCCTTGCAGGGAATCGGGAGCGGGGAAGAAAGGAGGATGGATGAAGGCGATGCCGAAGGCCGGTGCGCGGTGGGCGCAGCGCTCCCTGCCGCCGGCCCAGAGGCGGGAAGAATGGGACCGGCCGCGCTCTGGGGACACGGGGAACGCTGGGAACACCCCTGTCACATCCTTTCGCGGCAGCAAGCTGCTACGACTGTAACACAAACGGCCAAATGACAACCGTTTAAAAAAAAAAAAAATAAATAAATAAATAAAAATCACTGTAGTAATTTTGATAATGAAACTGACTCGTTGGAGGAGCTCCGCGTTATCCMTCTGTTTTCCAGAGCTTCCGAACGAAGCGATTGTCAAAACGCTGGCGGCTAGAAGCACACCCGTGGGAAGTGTTCGCGTGTCCGCGGWGGATCCGTGTGCCGGATTTTCTCCCCAGGTGCAGCCCGGCCGCCCCCGGGTGCGCAATGGCAGCGAGAAAAAAAACACTGGAGTTCGCTGAAACACGTGAGAGCAGAGCCGGGAGCGGACGGGCAGCAGCTCACAGCCGCGAAACTCGGGTGASCCAGGCTGCCGGGGCTCGGGTTGCCGCAGGAGCACGGCGGTGCCCGCCCGGCTCTGCTCACCTGGAGCCGCAGCGGGGCCGGCGGGGAATCGTGCCCTCCGGTGGCCGCCGGCCGCACAGCCCAGCCCGGCCCGGCCCCACAGAGTCCCCGCAGCCGCAGCCCCGCCGGCGGGGCCGAACCGCACCGCGCCCACCCACGCCAGACCCAGGTACGGAGGATGGAGAGAGATGCTTGCAGCTTTTCCGTGTCCTTGGTTGTAAGAGCTTCCTTTTCCGGGAAGGAAAAAAGAGGTGGAAGAAGATGAGAAACGGGTCCCACTCTCATACCCTTTATATATTCCTTTTGCCAGTTTGGTGTTGCTGTGCTCAAATTTGTACCAGGGCACAGTGAGAGTTCCTAGCCTGTTTCCCAGTGTGCTTTCAACACGGAGAGAATTACAGCACAAATGCCAGTGTGGAAAGTGGCTAGGTGCTCTCTCATTCCTTCTGAAGGGATATGGTCCTGAGCAGGCTTTCACCTAGAATCCATAGGAATTAAAATACCTCTCCACGGAAACTAGTAGGGAAACTTCAATTGATCTCAGTGGTCTTTGCAACATAAAGATACAACTTCTGAGGAAACACCCGACTGAAGACTTCAGCATCAAAAACACGCTGCCTCTAAGCATGCATGTATGTAATACTTACATTGTTCAACATCCCAAGGAATCACCAGCAGTGAGAGTTTTACCRCATTGAGCAGCCTTTGTGAGCTAAATGACAATGTGTGTATGTGTTTGCTGTATGGAGAACACAGAACAGCCTTACTGAAATCCAACTGTAATCTGTGTGTATGCACAATGTGTGTAACACATTGATGAGGGGCACCAGTGTCCCTGTAACCAGACCATAAGCACATGAGTTCTTAAACTTCTGCACTCATTTACAAGCGTTTTTTYCTCTTTTTCTCTGATTTAGGCAGACAAAATCGGACCTTTCATTCTTTCTTAGAAATCAAGGAAAGAATCAACCTTTTGGCCTACTCAAAAACTGTGATGTTTCTGCCTGGCTAAGGCAGATACTCCTYGTCCCATCCTGTGAGTATATCAAGAGTTAATGCGTGCCTAAAGAAGGGCTGGCATAAAGTTGGGGGAATCCCTTACAGCTATTTCCCTGTGATCAACCATGACCATAATGATTGTCACAGACCACGTCACTCCTCTTTTCTTCCTGCTAGGAATTTGTCATTTATTTATCTCTATGTTCACACCCACACCTAATGGTTGCTTTACCAGCATTATACCTTACTGCACAGGTGAAAAAATGCTGGAGTGCTCTGGGTCCTGCCAGTGCTCTGTGTATCATTGCATCCCACAGCATGTATTTTCTCGAGCTGAAGCCCAGGAAAGCTTGCAGGAGTGGACCTGGAAGTATATCTAGAAAGGCCCTGAATCTGTTTGCAGTTTAGCTTGCTATCATCAAAGAGTGAAACAGRGTTGACATTCTGCCCAAGGAGCCGGGAGAGTCTTTACCCAAGCCATGCCTATGCATAGACGGAAACAGGACATGGCATCCTTTATCCCATGCTTCAGAGTGGTCTGCAGGACTACCTTAGCGGCTTAAAGGAGGCTCAAAACAGATAGTTTAACATTGCATAACTAAAATTATTATTATTATTAATTATTATTATTATTATTATTATTATTATTATTATTATTATTATTATTATTATTATTATTTTAGTGTGAAATGCAAAAGCTCCACTTCAATCCCCATCAGAACTGTAGATTTCAAAACAAACCAGAATTTAATTGATTTTCTTTAATCTCTGCACAGACTCCACTCCCCTTCCCTCCTGACACCTATATATGTATTCACAGTGCATGCATGTACACACAAACACATCCTCACACATAAAAACATACCAGTATGTCTTTCTCTCTCACACAGACCCCCAGACATGACTCTGACACAYCCACCCTCCTCCCCACAGAGCACACATCCCAGCACTAGGCAGGGTGGGGGGGTCCAGGCAGGCTCCCAGAGCCAGCCCAGCACAAGTCCCCCAGGACAGATTGTTGGCACCACGGCTCATCTGGTGATGAACCCTGCACTTCTGTGTGGGTCTTGGAAATAACATCATGGGCTTCATTTCCTTTGCTCCTGAGCCCTCAAATTTTGTGTCACAGATCAAACAAAAGCCCAAATGAAGATGATGCAGGGATTGTGTGCAGTCGTGGTTCATATAGCAGAGTGCAGGTCTCCCACATGAGTCCTGCTAACCACTGCTGGTTGCTTTTGCTGCAGTTTGCATGAAGAGCAGCTGACATTAAACCCAGCCATCTACCCCACGCCTTTCTCTTCAGCTCCCTCCCTCCCTACATTTCTCCATGTTTTCTATTTTTACAAACGATGTAATACTGCTTCTCCACCTGTCCTTGCCTCTTCCACACACCCTGCTCTGCACAYCCTCCTCCTGCCCCAGGACAAGCAGGTGATGTCCTGAATTCCTGCTCAAACTTCGGGTGACCAAGACAAGTCCCCTCCCAAATCAGCTCAACAGGTGCTGCCCCTGTCTCCTTTCAGGCAACATCCCTTTTCCAGCAAGGTAATAGCTATCCAGGTTTGGGATTGCACTTTGA